TTGAACATAAAAAATATAAAGTATAATTTGAAAATCATTGGACTTGATTTTACTGTAAAAGTAAAGAGGCTTAACTTTAAAAGATTTATATTTGAATTGTTAATATACCAGTTTTAAATATACATAATCTGAAGTCGATATTGATTCAAAGAGCGTACTTTTTGAGTGGGTGACTTCGAATTTACAAGCCTTCCGTCGTTTCCATTAAACACAAGTTGTCGAAATGGACGTTGTCTTAATTCGAAGATTTATTTCTGAGTCACGGTGAATATCGAGGTGACATAACCACTTGCTATTCGGCTCAGGCTCTGGGATAAAATGTAGAGATAAAAAATTCTCCTTGGTCGCCCCGCAGTTTCTGTTCTAGCTGGGGGGCTATTGATTCTATATAGGGCCCCCCTCCGACATATTATAGAATTCTCGGAGCGCGCCTCCTAACTGGGAATGGGTCGCTTAGTGCCTTTGGGTCAGACCTCTTACATAAAGAGCCCTGAGGACCAGTCGGGAATTAGCATTTTATGGACAAAAGAGCATTTGTATATTTTAGACTATGTGTATGGACTTAATACGGGCATGAATTTAACAGGCTGAATGTCTACGTCGTCGAGTACGCAAAACAATAAAAAAAACACCCTTGGATTCGTTATTTTTCAAAAATTCAACAAATTTTTGGTCATTTAAGACAAAAAGATGTACATAAGATAGGTTCACACCAAAGCGATAAAATACACATCTTTAAATTTGTAAGGGATATACAATAATTGTCTTGAAAGGTACGCAACGCTCAGGCGTATAGAAAACGTGAAGAAACGTCAAAATTAGTACAATAGCAGCATGTGTTGTAAAATGCGAGTATCAACCGCCAAGGCTTGTCTCTTCCTCAAGTGTCCTATAATATTGCGAAGAGTGAAGATGGCAAATTCGAAGTGAGGACATTAGCTTTGTGATTGGCTGGCTGGTCGTGTCTTATCACTTCAGTATGATACCTCACTTATCTTACCATGTTAAAACGTTCTACTTGTTTAAACTACATAACCTATTCATAGGAGAAGACATCAGTCATTCTCAAAAAAGAGAACCATCATAATCTATTTATCAACGTCGAAATATTTCAACGGAGAATGTACAAAAATTCCAGTATATTTCAAAGATATCCGATCAAGATAATTATCGTCTATCGTATACGACCTAACGATGTGTATCTTATCGCTCTGGTGTGAATCCGGCCTAACTATGTTCAAAAGTTCTAACTGTTTAAACTGCACAAACTATTAATAATGGAAGCCATCATTCTTTATTTCAAAAATGGAAACCATCATAAACCATTTATCAACGTCCAACGTCGAAATAATTCAATAGAGTAAGTACATAAATTCCAGTATATTTCAATGATACCCGATCAAGACAATTATCGTCTATCGTATAGGACCTAAAGATGTGTATCTAATCGCTCTGCTGTGAACCCTGCCTAATACTAATCTTGTTTTTTTCTATTTCTGAAATTTCATTTCGATTTGTAAAAGAACAGCTGCAACAAATGATATCGGCATATTTTGTATTATGTTTATACTTTTCCAGCCGCATTTTACTTGCCGTAAATCTGAAGATAAGAATTGAACAAACTATACTCGGCATTCATAGTAAGAAAAAATAAAGTACCATTTTTCATTTCAAAACATCTCAAATCTTTTTGTAAATTAATGAACTTAAAAAGTTACATAGTTCCTCTTCAAGGGTCATCAGGGTTAATCAATCATACAGGCATTTAGTCAATAACTTCATTTTAACAAGTCCTGCGCCCAAATTATGAGCTTTTGTTGATCTGCAAGTAGTTAAAATCTTAAAATCATTTAGATTAAAATTTAACTATTTATTACCTAGTATTACGTTCTTTGGCCTCGCGGATGGCCTTAAGTATCCTACGACGAACAGTGGGGCAAAGGCGATAAAAAAACGATTTCCTAAAAACTGAAATTTTGATAATACAATTAATTTTTCTTATCATATTTTGTCAGAGAATAAGGCTATATTAATAGTTTTCGGTTAAAAATTGATCAAAATCAGTAATCACTGCTGAAAAGTGAAATTTATAAATTTCGCAAGATCAGGTATGTTCCGAGCAATACACTCTACCCAACGGATAAAAATTCGTTCACCGTAAATTCCACACACCCAAGTATGAGAAAAACAAAAAATTCAATGTTGGGATGGAATCAGGTGGGTTAGTTGAGCGAAAACCAGCGATATTCGAGGAATATTCGGATTTTGACGTTCAAAAAAAATCTTCGTTGTCTTTGCTTTGTCACCGTTCTGTTTCCCTTCTATACACATCACAGTACTATCTTTGTGGTTTTTAGCTGCCTATTCTTGTTTATCAGATTGCAATACTGTTTTAAATAGAACTATTTAGCCTACAATCTCAAAAATACAAGAAATTTGGCCATTTCTGTTTAGATGAATGACTTTGCCTTAACTATTACTGTTTTTGCTGTGTAGAATCTGAATCAGATATCAAAAATATCGTATCATGAAATGTTTTCTTTAATAAAGATATATCTGTAAGGGATCATAAACTTTCGTTTTTTTGCGGACGAAGTGCAAAAAGGTGTTGACTTGTGAAGTAGATGCACATTTTATCTATTTTAAACACAATTTTACAATTTTTGGTAAAAAAAATTCATTGAGAAAAACATGCGCAAGCTTCATTTTGGTCATCTCAAAATTTTTGATTATTCCCTTGCGAAAAAAAGCAACTTAATATCTTTTAAATGGTTTTATTTGTGATCAGAGTTTAATTTCCTATAAAGGTTTTTAAAATCAAGTGTTTCAACTGCCTGTGTATAATGAGTGAGTCCATCTGAGTCAATATGCCCGATTTTTATTTTATTTATTTACTTATTTTAAAGGTACAAATGGGGCTTTATACCTCTTACATGTACTTACAGTAGAAATAAATTAAATTTTATAAACCTAATAAAATAATAATAACAGCGTGTATGGTGTTAGTGACCGTTAGTTAATGATTATTTGGAAGTCGTGAGATGGGGTCTGGTGTGACGTAGATTTTAGAAAAACATTTTCTTTATTGTGCCAACGTTTAGTTCTTTGCCCCCGAAACTGTACGGATCTATCAAAACACGTAAACCTGAACACCCTCTATGTCCAATAATTTCATTTGTAAATTCCCCTACATACAACATGACAAAATACCTAACCAATATACTCAACAACATCGCAGATAACACATATAACGTAAAAGATTTATTTCATTTCATTAACAAAATTTATAATATTCACATTCCCCTCACACTACTCCCTCATATCCCTAGATGTTTCATCATTGTTCACCAACATTCCAATAGGCGTAACAGTGAACATTATTAAAGATAAATGGCCCAACATAACAGCAAGTCTATCAAAAAACACGTTCGTAACAATGGTTCGACACTGCTGTATTAACGGATATTTTACATATAACAATCAATGTTACAAACAACTATTTGGCATTGCCATGGGTAGCAACCTAGGCCCGATACTGGCAGATATAATTATGACACATCTATAAAAAACTGTCATATAACAACTTCCGTTCACATTACCATTCCTCTCTAGGGAAACGGAAAAAAGAAAAGGAGGGAAGAAAATGAGTGATTCATGTCGTTTTTAAAAACTGAGATGCCAAGAACCAGAAACAAGGCAGCAAGCAGCAAGCAAATTCCATAGTTCTGACCCTGCAATTCTGAAGGATAGGGCTAATGGTTTAGAGGTCTGTTGAAGGTTTTGGATATGATTGGTGCGTTTGGAGAAAAGATGAGGGAAAAAGTTTATAACTATTGAGGACAATTATTTGATTTAATTTTAAATTTATAAGTTAAAACTGTAAGTTTATAAGTGCTTGGAATGGTAGGTTGGTTTAAGATCATAACAATATCTAATGCAGAAAAGATTAGCAATTTGAAGGAAATGTGCAGATTGAGAGTCTAGGGAAAGTGAAAAAATAGCGCTACAGTAAGAGAATAAAGGAATTATTAAGGATTTAATAGTTTTCTGTGGAGTGAAAAAGCTAAGGCGTCGAAGAAAATTGAGGCTTGAGTAGTTCTTTTTAATAATAGAGCTTGGAGTTAAAAATAACGCAGAGATGGTTAACTTTAGGTCAAAAATTAATAGGGGTGCCGTTGGTATGAGGAGAGGATAGGCAATCTGTACTAATGGGTTTATTGGAAATTACTAAGGACTGGCATTCGTTAGGGTTTAAAAGAATGCCGTTATTACTTGACCATTAGTTGAGAGAATGAAGATCACGGTTGAGTAGAGAGATAGCTTCAGATGTGTTGCTTGTAGGACACTGAATGTAAAGCTGGTTTCATTAGCATAAAGATGAAATGGGGATAAATTAAGTACTAGCAGAAGATCATTTAGAAACTTGGAAAAAAGTAAAGGTCTAAGAATAGAGCCTTGGGATAAACCAGATGAAATTGAGAGAGAACTTCAAACTTTAACTATATGTGTTTTGTCAGACAAACAGGAGGAAATAAGATTATTAGCAAAAGAAGAAAAGCAAAAAAGGTTTTTTGCAACGAGTTATTCGTCTACCGTCCACTATTTAGGGTGGTTTGCTGTGGTCCAGTCTATTCGAAAAAAGTTTTGTTGATTCAGCGTATAGAAAAAACATAGAAAACGATACCCATAGTGATTATTGATGATATTGTACCATTTTTGAATTTTGGACCACAATTTTTTACGGTTTCCTGTGGAATCGATTCGAAAAAACATTCATTGGTTTCAGATTACCAAAAAACCTAAGTTTACAAAAATTTGGGGAACTTACCTCAAACAGCTTGGGTGTACCGAATTTTTTCCGCATTTTTGCGTTTTGGCCCCACATCACCAAAAATCTTTGATAAAAATACGAGGTAGAATGACGACCTATCGATAAGTTTAGTATCGATTCATTTCCGCGCTACCGTTAGATTGTAAAACCTTATTAAAACCTACCAAGAGTCACGTCAATGTTATAACTATTGTGGACTTAATTATTTAATTTAAATATTATTTTAAATTATTTCCTATTGACAATAAAGTACATTGTGACATTCTATGTTAACATTTTTGTCCTTGGATGTACTGGCCGTGTAAAATTATCATTTCTTTCTCTCGCCGATAACAGTAGATTGTCATGTTTTACCTCTTCCAATTCCACACTTGTGACATGTGGGAGGGCTTCTGTCAAAATTATAATTTTTAATTTATTTAGTTTTTATTTATAGTGTGAGAGAAATGAAATTCTTTCCTCCTCACACTTTAGAGCTGACACTTGCCTTAATCAAACCTCATGCTGCTCAAATACCGCCAGTCGTTCAGGTAGGAACAATCAAATTTCTTTTATACTATTCAAATGGCTTCATTTGCACGAATTATTTACTAAAGTAGAGTAAAAAAGCTTGAATTTGTAGCCAACAATGTTGTACAAAAGCCACTCTTCCTTGATTGCGCTGTTTTTTTGTTTTGTTTTTTAAATATTCACATATTTAGCTTGTAAAAGTCAAGGGAAACGTCAATACTTGATACAAGTTTCAATTGTTCACTAAAAACTTTCAGAAAATCAAAGAATCCTTAATCACCAATGGTTACTTTATTCTAAGATGGAGGAGGGACATCATAACGTTGGATATCGCTGAGAAGATGTACTCCGTACACAAGACGAAACCATTTTATATACGCTTAGTTTCAATGATGACAAGGTTGTTCCTCCAGTCATATAAAATATGACAACAGAATGATTTCCCATCTGTTCCAGTGGCCCGGCCGAAAGTTTTGTCCTTGCGAGGGAAAACGCAATTAAACACTGGAGGACGATGATGGGACCAACAAGAGTTCTCGAATCCCAGTACACACACCCTTACTCATTAAGGAGTCTCTATGGTACATCAAATACAAGAAATGCTACTCACGGTGCAGGTATTATTAAAAAGTTTATCGGTGATAAGGTTTATACACAACTTTTTGTTTTAGATAGCCTTGAATCTATGAAGAACGAGGTGTCTATATTTTTCCCTGACTTCGATGTAGACGCTTGGTATGAAGATGAGGAGGTCTATTTTAGAAATGGTTACAGCAAGTTTGACGAGGATTTGCAAATCCATGTAAAAGAAGACATAGCTTTCCCGGATATCATCAAAAATTGCAATTAGTCAAAACAACCACAAATAATTGACTATAATAATTATAAATAATTAAATAATACCAAAGTAATTTTACTTTTTACTACTGACTAAAAGCAATTCTAGTCAGACAATTGTTTAAATGTTTAAAATGTGATAGCCTAGAAATAAGTGTAATATGATGTCAAATTTGATCCGTTTTATGGTAAATATGGATATTTTATAATTTGTGGTTTTTAAAACAAAAAAAATTCCATGTGGTTTTTTTAAAATAAATTTTTTGTTTTATTTTTACATTAAATTTTTTGGACATTTCGCGAATTTACACCCACCATCATGAATTGCTATACTCATCCCACCTCAAATCTTTCTTTTTTATGCAACTGTCCTGCAACAGATTTAACTTATTTCATTCAATATTTGCTTCTTTAGTCTGGTAGACATGTTTTGGTTTCTATCTCAGTGATGGGTTTGCTATGGTGATTCTCCCTGCTTATATCCCTTTCAATCCACTAGTTGGCAAATTAAGTCACTCTATTTAATAAACAATTTTTATAAACATTTCTGCTTTTAAAAATACTAAAATTTGTTTATCACATTTATTAACTTAAAAAATATATAAATACATAACAGTGTACAAACTTTGTCATCAGAATATAAAAATTAGTTAAAAATTTATTTGTCAAATATGTTTAAGTTTCTTCAAATAAAACTATAACATTATGAACAAACTAATAACATACATAAAATATGATAGTTGTTTTTGGACGGATTTTTAACCAATTGTTTAATTGTACAAGCTCAATAACTTAAAATAAGACCAAACAATATCGAATTTTTTGTTCGGATATATTTTACATTTCCAATCTGGTCAAAATGTGGGAGCACAAAGGAAACTAGGAGCTGCAAAAGGAAGGAGTGTGACGACCTTAAATAAACTCCTGAAGCGAACGTCAACCTGCTAACTTGACGTAGAGCTTGTCCTTTGAGAATATTTTAATGCCCGCTTCCAGCCTCTCGAGTTCTTTTTCTATTTCCATTCTCTTCTGTTTCATCCTGAGAGAATCACATTTCATTGGTAACATGTTGAACTGCGTGACGAGTTCAGAATATGCTAAAACATTTGTTTATAAAGTGTAGTAACAGTATTTGTATGTTGTAATGTGGGGCTGGTCCAGCGTTTTAAAGCGAACTTACACTGCTTAATTTTCGCCAGGTGGTCCCTTCTTTCATCGTCTGACAATCTGACATGGCCTGGTGGGCACTGCGGGTCAATATCGCCACGGTCCATTTTTCCATCGGGTTTCTTTACTCCTTTTTTGACGGCTTCTAGATACCTAATAAAATGGTTTAAAAAAATATTTAAATACAATTTGTGTTCATCAAATTCATACGTTACTTTGGAATGACTCCTCTTTTGTAGTTTGGTGGCGGTCTCGTTGGGTCAGGTTTCGGCTGTTTTGGTTTCCCTTCGTAAACAGTCAACGTATTTTTTTTAACGAAATTTTTATTGTTTTTCTAAAAAAAGAAATAGTTAAGTAAAAAATAGATAAATAAAATAGAAAGAAAAATTATAAACAGATATCGTTTAAATATTCAAGGAATTCTTTAAAATAATGAAATGGAAATCAAAATTTCACAAATTTTAAAAAGTCATGAAAATGAAAAAAGTTTGGTGCTTTCACTTGTTGTAAGTTAAATTATCAGACAGATTTTAAAAATAAATCTCCGATATGCACCTGACAAAGGATAGCTAGATCAAAATGATCACACATGACCAAATTACACGTTCATAGCTTTGAAGACCCCATGAATAAATCTAACAATTAAAAGAATAATAAAAGAACACCCAGTAAGCAAATTATTTTCCAATTCAATCTATCCAAGTAACAGCATTAATTCAGAAACAAACAGTAAAACTGGTCTGGTTTATAATACGCTGGATGATTGGAAATGCTAGACAAGTGTCATAGGTAAGTCGTTCCTGATAATTTTGGTCTGTCTTCTGTCGGATAATTTCAGCTTCTGACCATCTTCAGGTTTTAAAAATAATCTTGATTTAATACCATCCGCTGAACATGGTAAGGAGCTGAAATGGGTTTGACAGGCCAAAATATTCAGAACTTACCAAAATTCAGGTTTATAATTGCACAGACTTCACAATTTAATGGTGAAAAGTACAGTCAAAAAACAGCAGTGAAGTTTAGTGTAGGCAAGGACAACTTTTTTTTAACTGTTTCCTATTGACCAATCAGCCTGCTTCCTTTAATATTCAAATACGCAAGGCAAGCATGATACTCAAACACACAATAAAGATAGTACAAAAGAATCTGTGAATAAAAAAGTTAAAATTTGGATGACTAAAGTGCTGATCAAAGCTGTTTTCAATTTAAGCTTTTACGCTTCAATTTATACCAATATCTCAAATTTGTCAATTTGTTTTATTTATTGACTAAATTAACCGACAAAACTATGTTGGTTTTCTTACGCTTATTATTTTAGCCAGCATTGCAAGTTTGGCCCCATCTCCAGCACTTAGTTCTAAATCGGTGTCGGAGTTTTCTGAACCAGGTTCGTTATTTTGAGATACATTACTTGCATCCTTTTCTTTATTCATATTCTTAGTCAATTCCAACTTTTTTTGTTCTATTTTGTTAGATTGATTTATATTTAAAATATTTTTACAACTAGCACTAGTGTTAATATTCATGCCTGGAATTGAGAGAGAAAAAAATAAAAACTTTAAACCTAGTATAATATCTAGACCTCCTACGATAAATAGATCATATTTACCATGGGGGTGTTTCATCGGGTGCAATGCGGCCACCGCAGTGATCGGTGTGCTCACATGCGTTTTGATAGAGCTCGAACCGAGGCCATCTAAAGAAGCACACATTTTTCTTCTTTTTTGATAAATGCTACCTCTTATGTTTACCGGTGGCTTTTTCTGCAGGAAATTAATTTTTTTCTATCGATATCAATACAACTTTATTTTACTTAATTAGCCCGACAGATGAATGATGTACTTTTTCAATGCTGTCATATGAATGTCAGCTTGCCAAATTTTGAGTACGTAAAAATAAATTCATCAAGTACATTCAATATACAAATGATTTGAAAATAGAACAAAAAAAAAATCTTACATAGCATGTATTCGGTAGAGAGAACGTCTTCTCTGTTTTTTCATGTATGCCCTTTTGCATATCCTTAACTTTTTTTATATTTTCCAGTACAAAGTTTTTTTTTGGTTTTGGCTCAGGAACACCTGAAAAGGCAGTACTCTGTAGTTACTAAACTAATTCAGATATCAAAACATCGCACCTAAAAACACTCTCGCTCATTCTTAAATACATTCTTTCTTATTTACTCAAGTGGGATGATGGAGTACTCAATCTTCTTCCATCTACCATATAAAAAACGACATACATTAACTAGTCTAACTGAGGGTCAATAGGTAATCAATATTCTACCAATGACTCTCTTATTACACATTCATGCTTATAACATGTGAAACAGTTAGCAGAAATATATCCATAACTAAACTGTAATAAAAAAAAACAACAACAAAAAACGTTGTTTTAAAAAAATCTATATTACAAAACAGCCCTGTTTCTTCTAAAAATAGGAACAGGGAACCTAAAGATTCACTTCCATTATGGAACACAAATTCATATCAGGTGGCATTCCTACACACTCTCTATAAGGAGCCAAGGAATGACAATTAAGTGGGACACATTGAGCAAGCTTGTCTACATGCCGGACTAGCAGGCTTTGGCAAAAAAAAAAAAAAAAAAAGTGTTCATGTGTCAACAGCATGTGGCCAGCTATGAGTCAAGTTATGATGATCATTCCTCTGCTATTTAGATGTTCTGGAAGCCAATAATAGACCATGCTCTTGGTGCACAAGTGCAATAAATTTTATTAAGATTGTAAGCGTTTTTAAAGATAATTTATTTGTTTGTGAGCCTAATTTCAAACAAAATCGACAGGGGCAAGATATGATATCGTATAACACTGGTGATTCAAATAATTGAGAATCTGTGAGGTAATTTAAATAAACTTTTAAGCAAATTAAACCTATTTTTGGTTGTTTAATTTACCTGCTATTATAAAATTGTCTCTTTTCCTCAGAGCCATTTTGTCAAGGATTCAAGTTAATCTGAAATAAAGAAATAACCAGTAACAATTAATATTTTTCGCATACAATAAAAACAAATGAAAATATTTAAAAATAAATTAATATATGGTAAAAATTAATTGAAATTAATTAACACTATTATTTTTTATTATTGCTTTTTTTTTTTTTTTTGCTTCACCCTTTGAATATTCTTTTAATTAAACTGTATAGTATCTAAGCACAAGGACGGTGAGCAGTGAATATAGAAGTGGAGAAGAAAATTTCTGGTAATAACTTTTCCTGTAAGTTGTCAAATTCCAGGCATTCTAATATTATATGGCTGGGGTTTATACGCGAGTACAAGTGACAGACAAAATTTGTTTATTCCTAAGTCCTCTTTTTTACAGATAACCTCTCCAAAGACCAACTGTTTTTAAAGAGATTTTTATACTAAAGAAAATAAATAACAAGGCACAAATAAGTCCTTTGACCCAACAAATCACCGAAGTTTTGCCAATAATTTTAATCCCCTAAATCTTTCTACAAATGTCAGCAAGAATGTAATTACCACACCTACAGTGTAGGGAAAAATTGCTAATTCTTTCCTCGATACTTCGACTGTAAAGATGGACATCATCTTTGGCAAAACATACGATTCATAATACGGTATTTGGACGAAAAGAAGGCATAACCATTAGAGAAACATATGGAAAAATCAGGCGGTGGTTAGGAAACACTTCACCTCAATATGCTGCTGCTCTAAACCAAGAACTTATATAAGAAGTATAATTAATTGAAATAATTAATACCGTCAATTGTGACTGCTAAACATTTATGGATTATGTATTTATTTTATTTTATTTTTTATTATCAATAAAGGCAAGTAACCACTAAGGGTTATAATCTACCCTGAACAGAAATATGCTTAGGGTGTCAACGAACAGAAACCGCCAGACCAACAGGACGATGCCAGGCCTGCTATACCCCCCACCAACAGCCTCAGTCATCACCTCCATTCATAACTTGTCTTCTAAATTTTAGAGAGCAAACCAGCCATCCTCAAGGAATTGAAAACATAGTAAAACTTTGCATACAATTACATTTAGTGTAGAACATTTTTAAGTGTGCTACTTGAAGTTACTGACTAATCGAGTAAATTAAAAAGTCTGACTCTTGAAAAACACATGCTTTTAAATGAAGACCATTAGGATTACGGACATTACAAATAGCAAGCATTTGCATACAAATATGTTTAGCTTTAAACATAGAACATTTTAAAAAGTGTAATCATGTTGACTTAAAATTATTGACCAATTAGATAAATTAAAAAGTAACCTCTGAACAGCATTTAAACAAAGATCATTAAGCTTATGGACATTACAAATAGTAAAAATTTGCATAAAATTATGTATATTTGCATACAAATATGTTTAGCTTTAAACATAGAACATTTTAAAAAGTGTAATCATGTTGACTTAAAATTATTGACCAATTAGATAAATTAAAAAGTAACCTCTGAACAGCATTTAAACAAAGATCATTAAGCTTATGGACATTACAAATGGTAAAAATTTGCATAAAATGACATAAAATTATTGACCAAATTGATATCAGTAAATTAAAAAGTCTGACTCTTGAAAAGCATTGCTTTTTAACAAAGATCATTAAACTTATGAACATTACAAATAGTTAAGGTTTTCAGTTGAGATAAAAAAAGTCAATGGCACGAGCGAGATTCGAACCCATGATCTTCGGCTTGATACGCCGCTTCTCTACCACTTGAGCTATCGTGACCTCGATCCGCTCAGACCAACTTCCCACCTCAACCACACCTTTTGAATTTTCCCTCCTTTTTGCCATTTTTCATCTCAACTGAAAACCTTAATTAATTGTAAGATATTAATTGGTCAAGCGGACCACAAAATTAGTGAATAGAATTACAAATAGTTACAATTTTCATAAAATTGTGTGTAGCATTGGACACAGAACCTTTTAAAAAGTGTGATCGTATTGACTTAAAATTATTGACCAATTAGATAAATTAAAAAGTAACTCCTGAACAGCATTTAAACGATCATTAAGCTTATGGACATTACAAATAGAAAAAATTTGCATAAAATTATGTGTAGCATTGGACGTAAAATTTTCAGAACATGTGATCATAATGACTTAAAATTATTGACCAGTTAAGTAAATTAAAAAGTAAATCCTGAAAAACATTTACGCGAAGATCATTAAGCTTATGGACATTACAAATAGTAAAAATTTGAATAAAATTATGTGTAGCATCGGACATAGAACCTTTTAGAAAGTGTGATCATAATGACTTAAAATTATTAATCAATCAAGTAAATTAAAAATCTGACTTGAAAAGCAAATGCTTTTAGAAGAAGAGCATTATGTTTAAGATCATTTCAAATGTGTATTGTATTATTTCATCTTATTTCATTATTGATGATAATCGTAGATGTCCCATAATGAGAAAAGAGGAAATGGCAATGGTCGAGTTTTAAAAAAGTCAGTGCCTCTCATTGAAAAGTAATGCTAAAAAGCGTTCAGGCAGAAAGGATCAATTTTTATTTCGGTAGTTATTTGATTTTATTTCTTCATGAAGATCCGTGAAGTTTGAGCAACATCTTAGTTGCATGCACGGCGTGTTGATGAAAATGTTGAAAAATTTGTGTTTTGTGACTGACCTGAGTTGAGAATGTAGATGTAGACCGGGCTGGTATTGTAAAACCGCTCGCCTTCTTCCAATAGAAAATGTACGTTGGATAAATGTCGGGATAATTTGAAAAAATAATGCGTCTCATTAGAAAAATAAGTTATGATGTCGGTGGTTTTTGATTTTGTAACTGCATTATGATTTTGAACCGAATGACAGAAGAGTGCAACAACCGATGGCGTATATCCTGACAGTTGTTAAACAATAATTTTCTCCTTCGTCGAGGTAATTTTTCCAACTTGATCCTTATTTTTTCCCTAAAGGATAATTTACAATGGGATAAAATTTTTCAGATATATAGTCAAAAATGAAATTTATTTTGATGGGAATACGGGGCCATCATATGAGCGAGGCGGGAAAATCTAGATATGAAAGGCCTCGATCCGAGAGGTCGACAGCTGTGACGTCGGCCACGTGACTCCATCAAAGTCTTTCAATCCCTCTTTAACCTGACAATTCAAATAAATGCCTACTGCTAAAAATTAAAGGCATCTCTCTTTCCTTTTGTTTCTTCTTCTTTCTTTCTTTTAGTTTCTTGTAATAGTAGGGAAAACAAATGACTTCGGTCAGCGGCAAAGCCGATCAGCAAAAGAGGCCGTCTGTGCAGAGCGGCGTCCGCACGTTTCCAAGGCAGTTTCCTTCTTTGATTGACGATTTCATGGAGTAAGTAAACACGAATTAAAAACTGTCGTAAAATGTCATAAAAACCTGGAGAATTTTTTCGAAATTTCAAAATTCTACACATCCCAGAAGCTGGTTCACAAATACTTGATAAGCACGATGACTGACGTGTCAAATTTTTCAGTCAATTTTTTTAAAAATAAAATAATACATTGATAATACATTGATGATATGGACCTCGTCCTCTTTAATCCATTACTCTTAATATCGCAAATCCTCAAGAAAAGTGACACTAGTCGAAAAATTCTAAAAACAGGATCATTTAGTTTGTGATTATTCGTAGATCGTAAGATGCGGTCTGGTGTGACATAGGTTTCAGAAAAACATCGTTCTTTATCGTGCCAACGTTTCGAATTTTATTGAGATCATCATCAGGGGTCAAAGTGTTGGTTTTCTGCGTAATTGTGTCATTCTTGTGTGTCGTGTTGAGAGTGCCCACTCGTCTCACGATCTCCGAATAATCATTGATAACGGTCATCAACTGTAGGTGGACAGCGCTTTGGAATAGGCGAGAACGTAGGGTCACCACTCAGGAAAAGTGGCATATCTTATTATCGAGCTTTAAAGCTTCAGTGTGCGATTTATCAGGACAAGTGTTCGTTCACATGATGAAAAACAATTGTTAAATCAATTGTACAAATATGTTTTTCATAATGTGAAATTAATATAGGTTCTGATGATGACCTTTAAATAGGTCGAAAGCTTGGCAGTCACAACTGAATTTGCTTTTTTCTTCAAGACCATACCTTGATCTAGAGCGTTGGTGAATCATTTTAAGTTCATTTCTCGGATTTAATAACATTTGTAGTATTTAGTGATTAATGATTATTTAGAGATTTTTTGTCGAGACGTTTCGATCTTTATTGAGATCATCTTCAAGGCCTGGGATTTATAAACGTTGTTTATAATTATACAATATGTACAAGATGTGAATATGAATTCATACAATGATGTACACAATATAGAAATTTTAGGTTAATCAAAGAGTATTTGTATCAATTGAAAAAATGAAAAAGCCCTGGGGAGTTGGTGTCCGAGAGGATCGAAGTCACGATAGCTCAAGTCGTTAAAGCAGCGGCGTATTGAGCCGAAGGTTGTGGGTTCGAATTCCGCTCGTGACAATGAGTTTTCATCTCAACCAAGACCTTACAAAAAAGAATAATTGTTTTATATGTTGTATTATATGTTTTGCGTGTTATTTGTTTACAAAATCAATTACACAAATTGTTCGGCAACTTACATCGGAATGGCATCCCAATATCTGGATAAGAGGATAAAACAACATATGTTTGATTGCAAAAAACTCAAACAAGATCCTAAGTACTGGCTACCCACCATTTCGAACACCAACACAACTTTGATTTCAACAATCCAAAAATATTAAAAATAGATCAAAACAAACATAAACGGAACTTTTCAGATATGGTTTATATCAACAGGAAACACAGCATAAATTACAGAACTGAAACATGTAAACTCAGCTACGCTAATATCATAAATCAAATTCAATATCAATAACAAAACACTTACACAAAACATTTAACACAACATATAAAACAATCATTACGCTCAACACATCAAACAATTCTACATTGTCTAAATCTTCAACTATTAATCTCTCCTTTCCCTAATAATCCTGAAAGGCTGACCAGGCCGAACGACAAACTAGTAGTACTAGTACCCCTTTTTTCCATTGTCGGTCCCTTTCACCTCAAAGAAGCCGACTCCCCATAGAAAAATGAATTTCTACCCCTACTTCCTTTCCCACTCCTTCAAAATCAAACATATATTAACAAAAACATTATTATCACACTAACACTCTCAACACGACACACGATGACACATCTACTCAGAAAACACACACTTCGAGAGTAAAATTTTTTTTATTAAACCTAAAATTTCTATATTGTGTACATCATTGTATAAATTCATATTCACATCATATATGTATTTGTATAATTTAAACGATCTTTATAAATCCCAGGCACTGAAGATGATCTCACTAAAGATCGTAACGAGTGGTGTTTAGAGACCGTTAATTATTGATTATTTGTAGGTCGCGAGATGCGGTCTGATGTGACGTAGGTTTAGAAAAACATTTTCTTCATCGTGCCAACGTTTCGATCTTTATTGAAATCATCTACAAGGCTCAAAATGTTTGTTTTCTGTGTAGATGTGTGATTACTGTGTGTCGTGGGCACTCTCAACACCACACATAATAATGACACATCTACAAAGAAAACAAACACTTTGAGCCCTGAAGATGATGTCAATAAAGATCGAACGTGGGCACGAAAAAGAAAATTTTTTTCTAAACCTACATCACACCAGACAGCATCTTACGATCCCTCAAAGTTCGAAACGTTGGCACGATGAAGAAAATGTTTTTCTAAATCCACAATACACCAAACCGAATCTCACGATCTCTAAATAATCTTTAATAACATTCTTAACATTGTTTTTTTCATAATTTCATAACACTGTTGTCTTTTGACTTTTATATTTTTTTTTTTCTTCAACGATTTTTGTAATTATATACAATATTATTATTAGTTTCAATATTTTTAATAATCAATAAAACCTTTGTTTATTTCAATAATTAATTTTGTATTTTAAATAACTAATTAGTCCTGACTCGACGAAGAAAGGACAAAAATTAATACTCTTACAGTCCCACTCACTATTATGATTAGAGTAAACAAACTACTTAAATTCCTGAGGGCCAATGTATGCAAGAAAAGTGTCACAACTCAAAAAGGGGTAGGTTTTTAGGGGTAGTACAGCTGAATTTTTTAAGTTTTGTGTTTTCGCTAAAGTCTTGGAGAAATGAAAGACAATATTGACGGATCATGACAGTTTTACAACCATAATGGTGTATACTCAATACATAAGTAAAAAAAATTAAACTTGTGAAATTATATTTTGTTGAGTTGTGTCCTATTTTAATGTGGGTTGGCATGCAAAGATATCTAAACAGGATTTCCAAAGTGCTAAAAAGTGAAAAACCTAGGCTACCCAACAAAACCTCTCTTCTAATGTAAACGTTTTCCTATGGTGAAAAGAAGAAAAATGAAAGAAATATTGTTCATTAAATTCACTAATTTCGTGGTCTGCTTGACCAATTATTACAATTAATTAAGGTTTTTAGTTGAGATCAAAATCCCGCAAAAAATTCGAATCCCGCTCGTGCCATTGACTTTTTGATCTCAACTGAAAACCTTAATTAATTGTTCATTAACAAAACACGAATTGAACTTTTTTTTATAAAAAATTACGTTAATACTGAAAAGAGTATCTAATGAAGTGCACTATTAAAAGGGCAAGAGTTATACATAGATATACAAACAAAGAGACAGGGATATAGAGGTTATCTATGAGAGGGATGAAGGTGTGTGTGATGAGGGAGAGTGAGAAATGAGAAAGAGTTCTGATTCATGTAGTCCGCTTAGTCTCTTCCTATCTGAGATTATTCCTTCTATCTGCAGCCTAGTGAAATTCAGACAGTAGAAGATAGTGATAAATGGGTCTAGGATAATAAGAGATATTGTATACGTGTACATGTGTGAGAGTTAAAGGGAATTCTGTGTTTGTGTGTTTGATGTTTGTTTTTTCTTCAAGAAATACTGTCACATTCTGTAAATAAGGTATATTTTGAGTGTTCTTGGGTGTTGCTTGAATGGAGATGCAACAGATTTATCAACTTCCTTGCAAGAGTCTCATTTGTCTATTTTCTATCAGTTACTCTAAACTCCAAATGCAATGTATATATAACATATCACAACTTTTAATTTATATGATTTTCTATTATCCATATCTATTAATAATATCTCTAACAAGTTATTGGAGCCATTATTAATGATTGTTTTTTATTAATTTATTACAGTATATGAAAATTATGTCCAATAAATTAATTGATTTTTATAGAGGCGACTTTAAATTTGAAGAGGAGAGGGATATGTTAGCTTTTCAAGTACGAGAAATGGTTTTCCGCAGAATAATAGATACAGAATACAGCAAATATATCGACTCCCAAGTGGCTCCGTTTACGGTGCACTGTTTCCAAATGGCACTGAAAAAGCTGTTGAATGTAAGAATTATCGGCAGTGTAATTCTGGCGAAGACTAATCCTGATTTCCCTTCCAGTGGAATTTTCAACAGAAAGATTTAATGGATACCCCGAGGGACTGGGATGAAGACTACGAGCCTCCGCCTTGCCCAATCGACAGTTGGGCCAGCTTCGGACTCCCCTTGGCACAAAAGGTGACTGAGCCTCCCTACGTCTCATCATCAATATCGGTGGAAAACCCACCTGAGCCGGCTGAGTCAGAACTGGCTGATCAAGATACAACCATGTCAGGAAAAGATGGAAAAGAAAGAAAATTTAGGGGTAGCATTGCAGTTCCTTATATGGTATGCATAGAAAAAAATTCAACACTTCACCACTTAAGCATTTTTAAAGTGAAATTTATTAGATAAGAATTACCTCTTTATTTTAATGTATATGTTTTTTAAATACTCTTTGTGAATTATGGTTCTATTCACAGATTTGATCTGGATACGAATCTGTGAGTAGAACCATCATTTACAAAAATTGAATCAACATATTTATCCCACCTTATTGTTTCTAAAAAATTACCTCGTGGCTAATGGCTAACTAGGTAGTGAAATGAAGTATAAAAATAACAGGTAAACCAAATTATCACTTCGATTTTTCAAGCAGAGGTTTATATATGGCCCAATAATTCACCACCCCACATACTTTGAGAGAATGAATTCTCACAAATGTTCTATTGTTCAATAGCGGCAGGACCACAGGCCATCAAGATTGAGTATGTCACTCAAATCGACCAGATCTTTCACCAGCCATAGACAACAAAGGGGTAGCACTTGCTCACTTTTTCAAAGCAAGACGACTGGGAGCTACTTGAAAAACTTCACAACCTTTGTTCGCGGTCTCGGGAATTATATCGACCCGAGGAAATTCCCTCCACCAAGGTAAGAGTAGACATAATGCATAGTAAAGAACAACTGGTGCTAAAATTCAATAATATTTTGAAATTGTATTCGAGAAGTAACAAAAAAGAAAAAAAAAGAAAAGAAGACTGATTTAATGTAAAGGAAATAAGATTTTAAAATCCATGAAGCATTAAAACTAAATTTGGACATAAATTATCAGAAACACATTGACGAGATTGACGAGATCCTTTCACAAAGACACCAGACCGCATCTCATGATCTTCAAATAATCATTAACTAACGGTCACTAAACACTGCACACTTTACAACGCTTTCAGTTCACTCTAGTGGCACCTATAGACATTACATCTATACTTCTAATTTCTTTGGGGTGTACGCATTTTAAGTGAATAGTTTTGTAGAGCTGAAAAAAATAAAAAAAATAAAAAAATAATAAATAAATAAAGTACCTGAAAGTATGTTTGAACAATGAAGTAGATAAAAAAATCTCTTGAATTTGTTCCTTTCATGCAACCACTTTTGATGGCATAGATTTCAAACATTTACATTTGTAAAAATGTAGTTATGGAGGTTGTGGTTATGTATGATAACTTCATTGCAATTACAGCTGTTGGTCGATCCTGTCAAGAATTTACTTACACTTGTAATTATTCAAACAATGGTAAATTACCACAATCTAAAGGTGCCTTCAAACCTTGTTTTACAAGATAAATTTATTTAAAAATATTACAAGTAGTCATAAGTATAAAAAAATTAATGGAGCAGTAAATAAACACAACTAGACTACAAAGATCATGTTTAATTTTTTAATCATTTTGTTATACTTTTTAAAAAACATACTTTTTAAAAGCAGGAGAACACAATTAAAAGGTTTGGCCTTACAAAAACCAATAAAAATTTTTAAGGTTGGTTTTGGTAAAACGTTTTTTGGTCCTGATGATCAAATCTAATATACTGAAAGACTAGTTGATCTTGATTTATTGGTTAGTCCAAATATTAATTATCTAATTATTATTAATTAATTATTAATTATCGTTTTCCAAAAACAGTGCCAACAACCCTTATTGCTTTGGAACTTTATTTCAATTCTATGTTTAAATAATTTCAACTGGCAATCCGTAAAATGCAATGTCTATCTACCAACAGAATGCGCCTCAAGGTTCAATTCGAAAAGGAAATCTGGGAACATCCTTTCCAAATATTTTTATCAATTCTGTTATTAATTTTTTCGTTAAACCAAGCTAGTGTAAATTTTTGAAACTTGTTTTTGTAAAACCACGCTACATCTGAAATTTTAATTTTTTTGCGATTTATGATTAAATAAATTAGTAGGAAATAGTATCCATTTATGTTTTAGTTGTCAATAGACCAAGTTACTTCTTTCAATTAAATATTCTTTTTATGTAAGGTTTTGGTTGAGATAAAAAAGTCAGTGTCACGATCGGGATTCGAACACAGGAACTTCGGCTAAATATGCCGTTGCTCTACCATTTGAGCTATTGTGACTTCGGTCTTCTCGGACACCAACTCTCCATCTCAACCTACTAGTATTTTCAACTTATTTGTAGGCCACTTGGAAAATAAAAAAACTGCTGTAGGATTGGGAAACAAATAATAAAATATATAATAAAAACAGCCTTATTCAAGTTAGTTCAGTGCTCCAGAAATAAGAACTCCAGAATGGGGTATCAATTTTCTTCTACTTGTAATTTTTTTAAAAAAAGTTTACAAAATTTCTCGTTTTGTTTAAATGATTTAATCATTCACGGCAGTTTAACATTATGTCATCTATAACTAGAAGAAAGAAACCACCAAACTGAATTTTTATAAATGTCAAGTCTGAGTAATAAAAAATTTTTTGTTTCGTCAGTAGCCAAATTTCGTATTGCTCTTAGACGATGTCTTCGGAATTGGAATGGTCGAGCCGCAAAAAAACCCATGGAACTTTAGACTCTTGTAATATCATTTTTACGTTTCCATTAACAAAAGCAAAGAAACATCCATGGGAAACTTATTTCCAGTTCAGTAAGTGCGAGAAAACCGACAAAAAAACCGCCTCAACAGAATGCCACGTTGTAATACTTGTAAAATGCTCGATGTGATATGGACTATTGTGGGCCACGTGAAAAAAAGTTTCTTTGACTCTGTAACACGAAAAAAATATAAGAAAAAATCGATAATGACATGAAAAAAATGAATTGTGTTCCTAGAAAGTTCAACGTGTATAGAGATTTATATGCCGTACCATTGCAACAAATTTGATTTGTACCACCTTGTCGTTTTTACTCATTACATCGACGCAGAGACATTGCAATAACCTATAATTTTGTAATGAATTTATTAAAATGGACACGTAGCCTTGTACTATCCTTGAATACCATCAAGAACAATATTGCAATCAACTTATCAAGCTTTATTTTCGTTCTATTTTTGGTATTTTACAAACTTGTTCGTTTAATTTCTGACCAAAAAAACGCGTCTTTATCAGAGCAAGCAGAAGACACGAGTCCGACCTTGGCTCCTATTGTTGTTTAATTAATAAAAACTGAAACAATGGAAGAGGCCTTGATTCTGCCGGCAGTAGATCTAGGCTTGGGCTTGATAGTTGCCCGGATCAGTTACACCCGGCAACAGGGGCACCGTGGAAAGGGCCGGGCCCATTTGATACACATCGAGAAAAGGAGGAAAAACCGAGGAACAACGGTTGCGAGAGAGAGGGAAAATAAAAGCAGAACCTTTGGCGACAGCTCGTCTGCAGGCTCCGTGCCTATTATTTCCCATTCTTTGTTTTTCGCTCCACGACTCTTTTCGCGATTTATTTTACGTTTTAGATTCTTGCAAACGTTCAGTTTGTAGCACATATCACGCATTGAGACGAAGTGTTTTTTTCTTACAAATTTGGAGATTAACGGACTCTTGTTTCTCTCATGTTTATCACCGTTTATTTTCCTCGTTTCGATTTAATTCAAAAGAAGAAGCGACAGAAAGTTAAAGACTTGGAGGGTAAATGAGTAAGTGAGATAAATAAATAGGGAGAGAAAGGAGTGAGTGAGTGAGTGAGTGAGAGAGAGAGAGTGAGAAAGAAAGAGAGAGCGATAGATAGATAGATAAATAGATAGACAGATTGATATATATATATNATAGAGAAAGATAAAGAGAAAAAGATTGATAGATAGATAGATAGATAGATAGGTAGATAGATAGATAGATAGATAGATAGATAGATAGAGAGAGAGAGATAGATAGATAGATAGAGAGAGAGAGAGAGAGAGAGAGAGAGAGAGAGAGAGAGAGTGAGAGAGAGAGTGAGAGGGTGTGAGAGGGAAAGGAGATTTTATTCTTTTTATTATGTGTTCATTGTGTTAATAATGAAGCTCATTAAATGGTGTAAAATCGGTCAAGTGGTTATCATAACCGGATTACACCTACAGAGAGAAAGACCTGGCTGACCAAGGAAGACCACTCTTCTGATAAATGTTCAACAACTCGTAGACGGATGGACCATCGATTGTTTGCTCTTCATAGTTATAGATAAAATAATTTTGATCTCACATGTTTGACAGCCACAAAGATTTTAGACCGAAAGGAACAGGAATCCTAAGTACAACAGCTGATCTTGTATTTCAACTCGATCAGTTGACCTGTATGGCCTGTAATATTCATTGTAGTAAATGTAGAAAAAATCTAAATCCGCTGATCATTATTAGTAGATACGTTGGCAAAATTACAAGTGGTATAGTATAATGAAATTTAACTGTGAAGAGTAACAGCTTAGCAGGAGACAGCAATTCGGGTCGTGCATGTATCAGGCATGGATTAACGCCATTTGATTGGAGCTTGATGTCTCATAAAAATTGGATTTTGTTATATAAACAATTTTTTTGCAACTAGCTTTACCTTATTTTGAAATGCTTGTGTTTTTACATTAAAGTCATAAACTGAATAAACTCTAAATAAATAACATTAAATGTACAGGTGCCTTTATAAACACCAGTATTTCCTCGAATTTATTGAACTATAAATATATATTACAAAATGGAATTATTAGAATAATAATTTTTGTGAAATTACTCTGGATGTTGCGAGTAGTCTGATCAAAATGACCACTTCAACTGGATAATTGGACGAGTTCCACTGAAGATATCGTCCAGAACTGAAACGGGTCTGACTAGAAGATCAGCGAGAATTGGCGGGCCACAGACGATTAATATTGATCAAACTGCTGACACCAGTTCATCAACTCCATCCAGAATAATTTAATTCCATTTGGTTAAATTAGACACATGTTTTTTTTTTATTGAAAAAACTAAGGGAAAGTTCAAGTAAATGGTGTACTTCAGAAGTTTATTTTAAAGAAAAAACGGAAAAAAGCAGGGCAGTTATGGTGGTTTTATGTGTTTTTTGCAACAGCAGAGATCATATCAATCTCGTAATATCGGTGTTTTTGAAAAACAGGCCCATTTCTAAGTATGTTGGGGTTTTAACTAATATTCTATAATTGGAGATATGAAGCATTCAGAACAACCAGCAATGTCATGCAGACAGCTAAAATTCTGTAAATTGTTGTTCATGCGTTAAATTTGCGGAGAATCCCTCTCCCTATTTACAACTTCACCATTGTGACGATCTGAAGTATCTCTATCATTTCATAATCCTATTACCTCTTGAAGATGGCGGGTTGTCAAATTTCTCTCCTAGTAGTAATTGTGGTGTGAACTTATGCGTTGGTTAAAGCGGCCATGTTTAAATTTCTGTCTTGGTATTTATCACATACCAAGGTTATTAGTTTCAGCGTGAAATTTTTTAGTCTCCTGAACATTCATACTCACATAATTACAGTAGATTAGTTTTTTATTGGACAGGGGATAAAAGGACCCATCAGGAGACTTTTAGAGTACTTTAGAGCTTTAATGCACAACTGAGACTATGTGAGCATCCCAGAGGCGTTTGTTACTCACGTTGAGATGTTGGTTTTGACTTTGTACAAACCGTAAAACTACCTTATCGTTACAAACTGA